CACAAGCTAGAATATAATCAGTCAGGTTTGAGTAGGCATGAACCTATCTTGGCAACATATATACTCTAATTAGCATGTTCCTTATCTCTGATATAAGGCTAATGAGCAGCTCACACAGATGCACACATTTCAGAAAATTGAAACATAGCTCATTTAATGTTCATTAATGCTGGATTACTTAAAATGAAGCACAACAGTGTCACAGGCAGAAGATGAAACTCGAAGGAACTCAACAAACTGAAAATATGAGTTTTGCTTTTAAAATCAGGAAGCGTATGCACATTTTTAAAAATAATTAGCTTTATTGGGAAATACTGCACAGTAAGTACAGTACGGAATGTTGAAATAATAATGTAGTTATGGCTGTTCCTCAAACCAGCAGGCTCTCTTTTGGGACCAACATTATTTTTGGGTGGCTCTACCCTCATACTCTGCGAAAGCAGTACAATAAAAGCAAATATTTTTTAGATAAAGGACTACACATGACCAAAACTGCTTTTTTCCCTCAAAGGTTTTGGCATATAAATATTGCTGCTGTGCTTGACTTGCTTGTCTTTTGAAAAGTACTTAGTCATAGGCTGGAATATTTTATGAATTAGGGTTTGCTTTCAAGTTCCAGAATTTTCAATACATTTCATACAGAACTGATATAAAACACAGCACTTTATCAAATAAATATGTGAAAAAACCTCCTGTGCTCCTAACTATGTCCCTACAGATTACTAAAGGAGGTACAGCTGCCAAAATCCAATCATATATCAAATGATAAACGTGAAGAACCAACAAAATGATGTGGCACTAATACCATATGAACCCAAAATTAAAAATATGAATAAGTAAATATAACAAATATAAAGTGACAATGGTATATAAAAATATAAAGTGACTCACACCAGCATGTGCAAACAAAAAAAGGTCCAAAAAAGGACTGATATATCATAAATAAATCAATATGCAATATAATAATGAATACACACAGAACATAAACGTGATAATACAAACGGGTGTCTATAACACTCACACAACACTAGTGCAACAAAGTGCCAAAAAAGTCCAAATTGGGACCAATAAATGACAATAGTGCCCAAAAAGATCCTAAAAACGGATCTGATAGTAATATGGGGAAAAACACTAAACATAAACACAGAGTTCAAAATGGGACTTTTGTGTGTAGTCCCATTTTGGACTCTGTGTTTATGTTTAGTGTTTTTCCCCGTATCACTATCAGATCCGTTTTTTAGGATCTTTTTGGGCACTATTGTCATTTATTGGTCCCAATTTGGACTTTTTTGGCACTTTTTTGCACTAGTGTTGTGTGAGTGTTATAGACACCCGTTTGTATTATCACGTTTAAGTTCTGTGTGTATTCATTATTATATTGCATATTGATTTATTTATGATATATCTGTCCTTTTTTGGACCTTATTTTGTTTGCACATGCTGGTGTGAGTCGCTTTATATTTTTATATACCATTGTCACTTTATATTTGTTATATTTACTTATTCATACTTAATTTTGGGTTCATATGGTATTAGCGCCACAACATTTTGTTGGTACTTTATCAAATAAATACTTTCATATCAGATTGTTTTTCAGCTTTGGAAGCAAGGGTAGTTACAGAATGTTCATTGAAAACATTCAGGTAAATTCACGCATTCAGAAAACTCATGTAACCTGACTGTTGAGGAGCAAACAGGTGGCGCATTATCCAAGATTTATTGAGAAGTAAAAAGACAAAAATATACTCACAGACATAGCATATATGTAAAGCTTTGTATGATAGAGATGACCGCAACAAAGGACAGGGTGTTCCAACTGTCAGTGTGGTCAGGTGTGTGACACATTTCGGGGATGAATCCCTTTCCTCAGAGCTACTGACCAGCCTGCATGTGGGTCATGTTATAAATAACCATGGTGAGCAACCTGACCACACTAACAGTCGGAACACCCTGCCCTTTGTAGCGGCCATCTCTATCATACAAAGCTTTAAATACATGCTACAGTTGCAAGAAAAAGTATGTGAACCCCTTGGGATTACGTGGAGTTTTGAATGAATTGGGCATAAAATGTGCTCTGAATGTCATCTAAGTCACAACAATAGAAGAACACAGTCTGCTAAACATAATACTACACAAACATTAGATGTTGCCATGGTTTAATTGCACATAACATGTAAACATTCACAGTGCAGGGAGGAAAAAGTATGTGAACCTTTGGACTTAATAACTGGTTGACCCTCCTTTGGCAGCAATAACCTCAACAAATGTTTCCTGTAGTTGCAGATCAGACCTGCACAACGATCTGGAGTAATTTTGGACCACTCCTCTTCACAAAACTGTTTCAGTGTAGCAATATTCTTGGGATGTCTGGTGTGAATCGCTCTCTTAAGGTCATGCCACAGCATTTCAATCGGATTGAGGTCAGGACTCTGACTGGGCCACTCCAGAAGGCTTATTCTATGCTGTTGCAGCCATTGTTTTGTTGAATTACTTGTATGATTTGGGTCATTGTCCTGTTGCATCACCCATCCTCTGCGGAGCTTCAGTTGGCGGACAGATGGTCGTACGTTTTCCTGCAAAATGTCTTGATAAACTCTGGAATTAATTTTCCCATCAATGACAACAATCCGTCCAGGCCCTGAGGCAGGTGTTTGTAGGTGACCAAATACTTATTTTCCACCATAATTTGCAAATAAATTCTTTCCACATCAGCCAATGTGATTGTCTGGATTTTTTTTCTCATTTTGTCTCTCATAGTTGAGGTCTACCTATGATGCCAATTACAGACCTCTCTCATCTTTTTAAGTGGGAGAACTTGCACAACTGGTGGCTGACTAAATACTTTTTTGCCCCACTGTATGTAAAACACGTCTCAAAATTCCAACACAGCTGCGCTAGGTGGAAAATCAGACTTTTCAAAGCTGCCTATACCAGTATTCAATATAAATTATATCACCAAAAATACAAACCAATATAATATAAAACATACATGAAACATATCAAGTGTCCATCAAAAATGTCCATAAAGTTATGCAGTGCTCTGTGTTGTTGATGGACACTTGATGTTGTGTTTCATATAAGTTTTATGTTATATTGCATTTGTTTACTTTGGTGATGGGATTTATAATGAATACTGGTGTAAGCAGGTTTGAAAAGTTTGATTTTTCACCTAGCACAGATACTGTATGTTGGGGTATATAATATAGCACTTACACACTGGGACTGTAGGAGTAGCAGTAGCTTGGCACACATATACAGAAATTGTTTTTTATCTCTTTATTTTCATTTCTATACTTTTATATTATTTTTTAGTTTTTTTAAATCCTAGGGGCAGGTTTACTGGTTTATAACATCGCAAAATTCACATATAAAATGTTAGATCACCAAAATACTATGAACAATCTGTAAATATATGTGCAAAAGAAAATAATAAAGTCCCAATCCAGGTGAGTCAACAAGGTGTGCGTACTTGCTCAAATTACACACTATGAAATGCAGCCCGATTACAAGTATCACGCCATCCTGTTCACCTTCATAAAATGACCTCTACAAGGAAATGAGGTTTAACACACTTGTATCCACGCAAAGATGAAATACTGCTCAGACATCCAGATCAAGAGTTATTTTTAGGTCTACCAGAGCAAGAATTCCTCTGTATAATACTTATCACCACATATCCATCCATATGAAAGAGAAAAAAACTCTCATAGTGCCCTCTGAATACTTTATTAAGCAACAAAAAGGATTACAAACACTAACAAGCAGAGCAGTAAAAACAGAGTAGTTAAATTGATCCAATATATGTGAACCAAACAAATGGCACTACTCTCTTAGATCCTTAGCACCCATTAGCATGATAGTGTCATTAAAATCGTAGATTCTTCTCCTTTACGCATATTTTCCTGCAGTGGGACTTCTGGAAATATTTAGTGCAGCACTATTGAGTTTAGTGAGAGTAGCGCTGCACTACATATTTTGTTATTTGTGCCAATTAACCACTTGCCCTCCAGTGGATTTGCCCCCTTTCCTGACCAGGCAATTATTTGCGTTATGGCTCTGCTTTACTTTAACTGACAATTGCGCGGTCATGTAACGCTGCACCCAAACTAAATGTACGTCCTTTTTTCCCCACGAATTGAGCTTTCTTTCGGTGGCATTTAATCGCCTGTGTGTGTTTTATTTTTTTGCGCTATAAAATTTCGACAATTTTGAGAAAAAAAACAATATTTTTGACTTTTTGCTATTAAACGTGTCCAGTAAAGAAAAATGTTAAAAATCTAATTTTGTCATAAATTAAGGCCAATATGTATTCTGCTACATGTCTTTGCTAAAAAAAAAAAAATCTCAATAAATTAATTGGTTTACATGATAGTTATAGCGTTTACAAATGGTGGTATATATACTGGGTTTTTTTATTTTTATTTTTACTAGTAATGGCGGCGATCAGATTATAGCAGGACTGAGGCGGGCATACTGATACTGGGGGGAACTGACTTGGTGTCACTGACATCCTCAGTGACACTAATACAGTGATCAGTGCTGAAAAAAAGTACTGACACTGTACTAATGGCACTGGACAGGAAAGGGTTAACATGAAGGATGATCAAACGGTTAATTGTGTGCTGTGTGCTGTTTTACTATAAGCTGTGTCTGTGTGCTTCACGATAAGCACACTGCTAAAAAAAATACCATTATGCTTAAATTAATTGGTTTACATGAAAGTTATAGCGTTTACAAATGGCAGTATAGATACTGGAATTTTAATTTTTTTTTTAAATTTTTTACTAGTAATGGCGGCGACCAGGACTGTCGCGGGCATTCTGACACTGGGAGGAACTGACTTGGTATTACTGACATCCCCAGTGACACCAATACAGTGATCAGTGCTAATAAAAAGCACTGACACTGTACTAATGGCATTGGGTATGAAGAAGTTAACATCTGAGGCGATTAAAGGGTTAACTTTGTTCTGTGTGTGTTTTACATAATGGGCTGTGTTTGTGTTTCACTGTAAGCACACTGCTAAGCACAGCCATGCAAATCAGTGTTTACAAGCTGACAGGGAGGAGAACTGTCTTGTTTACAAACAGTTCTACTCCCCCCCATCGGAGATGCTCGGCAATCACTGGCGCCGGCGAGTAATCACCAACCGGGATCCAGTGATGTACAGCCATGGCCGCGAATGGCGGCGTGGGTAGGGTGCGTGCCCCCTACCTGGAAATGCAAAATCATGTATATATACGTGATGTTGCGCATTCATGCTGCCCTGTAGCAATATTTCTGCTATAGGGCGGTCAAAAGCGGTTAAAGATAAACAGTGAAAGCTGGTCACAGGGAGAAGGAAGATACATTAAATACATTCTTCTTTTCAATTTATACAGACAAAAATGAAGGATTTAAAAATCACACCATTAATGTTAATAACAGCAAACTTTAAGTGGAACTGACCTTATGGAGGCTAAGTTAAGTACTTCTTCCTCTTTCATCCCATATCTAGAACTAACTATGGTGGTTTGCTGTACATGACATACACTGAAAGAGTATCACGGAGATCGCCGGGGGCGCGCAGGAGAGTGCGTTCTGGGAGGACGTCATATGACGCCCTCCCAGAACTGGTCGGCAGCAGTGCAGCCGTCATTGGACATGGCTGATCACGTGGTAAAAGGCCGCTGTGATTGGCCTTTGACCACATCATGTGATCAGCAATCATGGAGATCACCGGGTCGAGGACACAGCAATCATGGAGATCACCGGGGTGCGTGCCCCCGGGGGCACATAGGAAATCGCGTTCATATGACGCCCTCCCAGAACTGGCTGGCCGCAGTGCAGCCGTCATTCGGCTATCTGCAGTCAGCAACTAGTTAACTGTCCCACCCTTTCCTGGTCAGACAGGCTGCATGCCTGGATAAGGATCTCATATTTATTTTAGGAGGGGACAACATTAAGTGTTTCTTTTTTTTTTGCGTGGAGTACCCCTTAAAAATCAACAACAATGCCCTATCAAGGATAAGGGTATGGTATAGATTTTTAATGGAACTACTTTTTTATATTGCTTTTTGTTTTTTTTTGCATGCGGCCCCTCTTAAAATCCACACCATACTCTTATCCTTTAGTTTGCGTTGGAAGGGAAGCATGCTTGCTGCCCCCTTCTTTCCTGGCTATCCAAGCTGCATGCCTAGATAAAGTTCTGATGTGGATTATGAGAGAAAATGATGGAAGGCAACGCCAGAAGATATGTGTTTCTATACTGTAAAATCTACTAGAAATGAGGAAATAAAAGCAGTAAGCTACTGGCGATAGCCCTAAGAGATCAAAAGTCAGCTTCTAATATCTCAGAAATCAAAAATATTATAGGAAACAGAATTTGTGAAGTTAATGCCATAGAACAACAGTTCCGTAAATACCACTTTTACTATGCACTCCAGGAAACATGAAAAACTGCAAGCCAATGCGATAAACAGCTATAACAATTTTATTAAATATACATTAATTAAAAACCACTTGCCTACCGAGCACTTTTACCCCCTTCCTGCCCAGGCCAATTTTCAGCTTTCAGCACTATCATACTTTGAATGACAATCTGTTAGCATATTTCTTTATTTTAGATGGAATGGACATAGATTTTAAAATTTGCATGGCATGTCCTAGTCTTCAAGAAGCAGGCTATCTGTGAAATGTGTAGACAGGTAAGTGTAAGGGCATATGCCATTACATTGTCAACTATCCCTTTTAAAACATTTTAAACTATGTACAGTATATTTAATAAAATTGCTATAGCTTTTTATTGCATTGGGTTGCAGTTGTTCATGTTTTCCTGAAGGGCATACCAGTTCAGTTGACCTATTTTGTATGATTACTAGTTTTGGGATGATGCCTCCAGGAAATATTAAATACCTTTGTTGACTGATATCTCCATTTCACTGTTTTGGTCTTAGTGCTGCAACATACCACTCTGTACTATACAACCTGCCCCCTTAGCATAAGCCATGGGCAATCAAGAAGAGATCATATAATCATACTTAAGTAAATGTGGCCTCCTCAAGCCTAAAGAGCTTAACCGCTCCCAGTCCGGCCTATAGCAGAAGTACTGCTACAGGGCGGTACGGGTGCCCAAAATCACATACATATATGTGAGTTTGCAGTTCCGGGTAGGGGGCACATGCTAGGTGAGTGCATGCCCTACCAGCGCCGCCATCCACGGCCTCGGCTGTCAATCACCAGGTCCCGGCCAGTTATTATTCGCTAGCGTCCAGTGATTCCTGAGCATCTCCGACAGGGGGGAGAACTGTTTGTAAACAATACAGTTTTCTCCCCTGTCAGCTCCTGCACACTGCTTTGCACACACAGGACACAATGTAAAAAACCACACACAGCACACAGTTAACCCTTTGATTGCCCCACATGTTAACCTTTTCCTGCCCAGTGCCATTAGTACAGTGTCAGTGCTTTTTATTAGCATTGATCACTGTATTGGATAACTGTGGGGATGTCAGTGACGCCAAGTCAGTTGCCCCCAGTGTCAGAATGCCTGCCGCAGTCCCTCTATAAATCGCCGATCGCCGCCATTACTAGTAAAAATAAAAATAAAAAATCTCAGTATATATACTGCCATTTGTAAACACACGCTATAACTATCACAAAATTATATAAAAATCAGACTGCAAACGTACCTCATCCTTCATCGATCATATAAAAAACCATAAAAACCAAATGGGACTTTACTGGTACAGAAAGTGGACAACATCATATTATTGTATAGAACATGTTTATTGAAACGTGTCTTCCAAAATTTTACCATAAGAACAGTATTTTGGCTAATCAGCCCAATATATCACAGCACTGTATATCATGACATCAAAGTACTCCAGAAGTTGACGTGTTTCACTTGTTCTCTTCCTCAGGACTCCAAAGGAGTTGAAGACAAAAAAGTCCAGTATCTTAGATGGAAGAAACATATGTGCATATATTTGCAACACATTAGTTAAATAATTATAATAATTACATAACATTACCAAAAGAAAACTTTCTCCACAAACTCACATGTCAACATGAGTGGTACCGTAATAAAGGGAACAGCATCCACCTAGTGGTTAAAAAGGTCCCAGATGAATATCCGCCACATGCCACATAAATTAGGCCCTGCAATAAACACATAGTCATATTGCATCCTAAGGCAGACAGAGGGAGAGGGAAAGGGAGAATACAAAGAAAAAGGGGGAAAAAAAACACAAAAAGAAACATTCCAAATGTGACTCACAATAGATGATTCACTGATAAAGGAAAAAGACGGTGACAATATCCACATGCCAATGTCAATCTCTGTAGTCTTTAATATCTCCTATGCACCGTCTCCCTGAGGCAATCTGGGCATAATAGTAATAATAACATTTTCACTTGGAAGATCCATAAAATATTTCAAAGCCAAGAAGTCCTTCACTGTATATCCCCTCCATTGTTACTTTTCTTGTATCTCACGTTTCCTCCTTTTTCTATCCTCATCAAATAAATATTTACTCTACAAGCAAACAAATTGAGGTCTTTGACACATTCAAATGTGTCCGGTCTAGTTGTAGGACAAAAACATAGCCCAAACTCCAAGACATCTACTTCACCGGGAGATAACTGATAGGATGAAAGGATAATAATCTGTAATAGGGGTTAATTTGGGTCAGCATCTGGGTTCGGAGGTTCTAAAGGCTGGGAACAATATTGAATATGGATGCTTATTTATATAATTATAGGAGTCACACATTGATGCTTCTGGTGATTGATACTGGAGAATTTTTGGACAAACTACCTAGTGATATTGCTGTTGCTGGGGGGGGGGGGTTTTCTAGCTCCCCCTTGGATCTGGGCTTATCAGGTATGGATCTATCTATTCAAGGTGGAGTGGTAATGGTGGAGCAAGGAATATATTGATATCCCCTTTGACCCTGTATGTTAATATTACTATTAAGCCTCGTGGAGAGGGTGCATAGGAGATATTATAGACTACAGAGATTGACATCGGCATTTGGATATTGTCGCCGTGTGTTTCCTTTATCAGTGTAGATAAGGGAGATGGCTCCCAAACTATTGTAGCTGATGGTGCAGATATGGAGTACAATCCTGAAATCCCTCCAACACAAGATGTAAAGAAATATAAAACTGGGAAACTAAAGAAGAAATATTCTAAATTCCCCTCTCTACAAACTAATCCTAATATCTGGATGTTTCTTACTCAGGCCAACAGAGAAGTTGAAAGGCTTGACCTGGCTGGTACTGCTAATTACAATTTAACCTTGGCCCAACAACAGGCACTTGAGGGATTACAGCAATATAACACTCTGACAATTAAAATGGCAGACAAGGGAGGTAATGTGGTCGTGATGGATAATTATCACTATAAACAGATGTTATGGATAGTCTGTGTGTTCTCCCTTTGGATGCTTGATGTTTCCCTGTTACATTAATATGATTGGGCCAGACTATAACCATCTGGTCCTTGCTGTTACTGGAACATCCCATTTGTGAAATTGATGCTATGGGGCGTTAATGTTTATCTATATGTAAATTAGATTTTTAAATTTTTGCATTTATTATTCTCCACATTTATGTAACACATGTCAAGGAGGTGGGTTCTATGGAGTTGGAGACACCTATTGGTAGTTTGGTCTGGATGGATGTTTGGACCCTTGGCTTATGTGTCACCCTTATAGACATCATAAAGATTCCATTTATATATGGTTGAGCTGATTGAGATAATTAACTAGGCTTTTCTCATTGGTTTGGAAGAGATGTAACTTATATACTGGCTATGGATAATATATGGTGGGCTGGACCCATTTTGGTTCCTAGACCCACCAAGGTAGTAGAGTTGAGGTGGTGGAAGCCAAGCGGTGACTGCTTTTTTTCATTTTTGCGTTTTGGTTGTTGGATGGCCTGTGGACTGCGTTGAGGATGGTGTATATGCATACGATCATTAATTATGGGGTCAACATCCAGAATAGTTGGGTGTCATGGCCACTTCTCAGATGCGAGTGGCACTTCCGCCCATACACCTCTATGGGCGGAGGTGACTTAGGTGCGCATGTGCGATGTGCCACGATAGATGAGTGTTTTGGCACCAGCAGGGAATCATCCACTTATCCACTTTCTGTACCAGTAAAGTACCATTTGGCTATAACTATCACGTAAACCAATTAATTTACACGTATTAGAATTTTTTTTTTTTTAGAAAAGACAGGTAGCAGAATATATTTTGGCCTAAATTTGTGACGAAATTAGGTTTTTGATATTTTTTTACTGGACATGTTTAACCACTTGCCGACCGCAGATAATCAAATATGATGTCCTACCAGAACGCACCCTCCTTTCGCGTCCCCGGGGGTGCGCACCTGGCGATCTCCGTGATCACTGTGTCCTATGGATACATGATCACGTGATGTGGTAAAAGGCCAATCACAGTGGCGTTTTACTACATGATCAGCCATGTCCAATGACACAGCAGATCACCAGTAAATGCAGTTGCCGGTTATGGGCTGCACTTTCCTCACGCTGTCACAACGTGAGGAAAATAGTGCCGATAACCAGCAATTGTCAGAGGAGGGATAGACACCGATCATCAGGGCACTGATGATTAGTGCCCTGATGATCAGTGCCCAGCAGTGCCACGCACCAATACCACCCATCTGTGCCCAGCAGTGCCGCCCACAAGTGCCCAGCAGTGCCACCCACCTGTGCCATCAGTGCCCAGCAGTCCCACCCAGCAGTGCCCAGCAATGCCACCCAGCAATGCCACCCATCAGTGTTGCCCAGCAGTGCCACCCATCAGTGCCCAGCACTGCCACCAGTCAGTGCCCAGCAGTTGTGCCAGTCAGTGCCACCCATCAGTACCACCTATCAGTACCTATCAGTGCCTATCATTGTTGCATATCAGTGCCAGCTCATCAATGCTGCCTATCAGTGCCACCTATCAGTGCTGCCTATCAGAAAAAAAGCTGTATGTTCAACTATATCTTTGGAGGTCTGAATCCTAAATCGAAATGCCTGAGTTCATTCTAATGAACTGATGAACTTGGGGTCTTCTTATGAGGAATGTTGCAATGTTTGTATCTGTTTAGAAATAGTGTGTATCTCAGCAAAATGAAAAGTTATTGTAGAGTATGCCTAAAATTTGACTTGAATCTTAAACCAGACTTCTGCGAAAATCAGTGAGCCAAACACACAAGCAGAAAATCACATTCCTGGGGAAGCTATATACTGTACACCAATTGTGCACAAAAGGCATCTGAGTTGCCCTACTGCATTGAATTTTACAGAAAACAGTGTCTTCAGAAAAATAACATTGAATTACAATATGTCTGGTGTAGCAATTGCATAGCTATATTTTTTTTTTCCAGGAAAGTGGAGTTACCTTTTAAGGGTACTGATATAAGCAAAATGAATAACAGTCTGAATTTCCTCAAGCCCCTTAAAAAAAATTAAATAAGGCATAAATTTGTTCATGACCCTCTACTAAGAAACCTTTTCCAACCAGCTTGCCTCTTACTTTTTATGTACCATTAAAGTGGTTCTAAAAGCTCAAGGCTTTTTAATCCCCCAGTCCCCCCAACCTTACTGAGCCCTCTCTGATACAGCAACGTTCTCAACAGCCTCTGTTGTCTGGGGACTCTTCCTCCTCATTGACTGGGACAGCAGTGGGACCCATTGGCTCCCATTGCTGTCAATTTACAGCCAATGACCCAGTAAAGAGAGAGAGGTGGGGCAGGGCCAGACTAAGGCTCTATGTGTCTTATGGAAGGAATGGTTTGGGGACAAGTATGAAGTGGAGCCCCCAGGGCGAGTGGCTTTCCCTGGGGGCACAGCTTGAGGGGGAGGAGCCAGGAGTGCTGGTGGGGACCCAAAAAGAAAAGGATCGGGGCTGCTCTGTGCAAAACCACTGCACATAGCAGGTAAGTATAGACATGTTTGTTATTTAAAAAAAAAAAAAAAGCTTTAATGCTACTTTAACTTCTATCTAAAAACTTTCACTTCCACCATTCCTTTTGGAAGTTCACATTGCAGTCATTCCAAAAGAAGGAAAGGATCTGACCTCCTGCACCAATTACAGGCCCATTTCCTTGCTAAATACAGATTTAAAAAAATAGTTGCAAAATTCCAGGCTAAATCACCTTTTCTCTCTTCTCTACTTGGCCTAGAATAGACAGGCTTCACACCAGGAAAGGAGGCCAAAGATAATACCATCAAATCCTTGAACATAATCCATTATATAAACACCCTGGGGGGTCGAGGGCCTTGACCTGTTGAATGTCACAGAGGACCTTTTAGAACACGGGAGTCAAACTGGTGGCCCTCCAGTTGTTGCCAAACTACGAGTCATATGAGGCATTGCAAGATTGACAGTTACAAGCATGACTCCCAAAGGCAGAGGCATAATGGGTCTTGTAGTTTCGCAACAGCTGGAGGGCCACCAGTTTGACATCCCTGTTTTAGAGGGTAGCCTGGAATGTCAGGTCCACAAAAGGAAAAAATAGAGAAGTAGCCCCATGGGATTGTCACCCTAT